TGGTATTGCTAAATTTTAATCCACAGAAGTATCTGCAACATCTTTATTCCAACTTTATTCCAATTTTAAATGCATTGCTTGTGTCTTTGATAACATGTATGGAGGAATTACAGCACATGTATAAACAAGTACTGGCATAAGCAAGTACTACTAAGACAGCATTTGTTATTTTTCAGCTCTTTCAAGCTAGTTTAACTGTTCAAAACACAAGAAAAGAAAGTATAAACATTTTATGGACTATGAAGAAGGAAACTATAACAACAAATAACTAAATCAAACCTAGAATTTAAAACCAATGAAAATCTTGAATTTCAGTAGAGAAGTCTTTTCTGGAAACTGGGTATCACAACAGAATCTATGCTATGAAAGAACAGACACAATGGTGGAGGCAAACACCAAAAGCACAGTCACCAACTTAAAGAGAGAAGAAAAGAAGCTATTTCTGTTGATTATGTTTATTTCTCATATGATCAGTCTTTGCAGTCCCCAAGTTAGGTCTACTTAGAGGCAGAAAAATACATAGATAAAGATAATTATTTTGATTTTAATATAGATGGATAGGATTGAAGATAATTCACTACAGAAGGAGCTGCTACTGACCAAGAAGACTCTGCAACTCCATATTTCTTCCTGTAAAGATCTACACTGCTACCTCTACAGAAGGCTTTTCAGTGCTTGCACAGGACATCTAGAATCCTGCAGGACATGTTTACACTGACACTTTTTGGAATAATAACAACATTATTGGTCTAAACCTGCTATTGCAAACCATTTTCACTCTGGGAATCCTACCTGTGAAAGACCCACTCAATACCATAACTGTGTGCTCTTTGGTTTGCCCTGAAGGAAAGAAATAAAACTGTGAGCTAGGATCTGTAATTCAGTAGAAGCCACTGGAAGTAACATAAAGCTTTCATAATGTGAAATATATTCTACTATTTTTGCAGACAAGAAAAACAAACTAGATGTAAATAAGTCCATGTGGTAGAAGACTTCCTCTCTCTTGCTGGGTGAAGCAGGGAATACTACCAGCCACAACTATCCAGTATGTCCCATTTTTCATTGTCTATTCAGCAGAACACTGTGACTGGGAGCTACCCACATGGACTTGATCTTAAAGGTCTTTTCCAACCAAAACCATTCTATGGTTCTATGTTGGCTTCCTGCTACAGGTTTTAATTTATTATTTTTTTTTTACACTTATAAAACAACAGCTTACCTGTTTCAAAAGAAACATTATGGTAAAACATTAAGGTTTTTCCATACAAGCCTGAATCTTTCACTGATACTAGTTGCCACACCTATGCATGACAGTTTGACTAAGATCAAACTGTATCAGGCATGCCTTTCACTGGTATAAACATGCAGCTTGTACAAAACTGGTCTCTAAAATATTACAATGTGTATATATACAAGAGAAGCACAAAGGAAAATAAAGAGCTTCCTCAAAGCACACAAGGAGAAAGTCCATAAGCAAGCTTTGTTTTACCCGGAAAGGACTTTAGATATTATAGTAAGAGGACATTCATGTTGCAAAAAGCAAGTTACCAAAAATCTTAGAAATGTTAGAATGAAACAGGCCCTGGCACCCAAACACGACTTCCTTGCTCCTTGCTGTGAAACCCTGGCTTGGACCATCTCCCTTCCTATCCTTCCACCTCATTTCTCTACCATCCAGCTCAATACATTGTGCTTCAAAACCAGACCAGCTCAGCACCAGCACAAGGAAGAAACGTGTCTGTGAGACCCTGCCCTGTCTGCAGTGAAAGCCACAAGGTATGTACCTGAAGAGGCCCTCAGGGTTACAAATGTTACAGTCCCCTCCTCCCAGTGGAATTTATTTAAGAACTCTTCTGCAGTTGCATACAAGTTACTGAAACTAAGCACTTCACACTTCTCCAGCTGTTCAATCTACAGCTTTCAGAGGCAGAAGTAATTCAAATTTAACACTGAATACAGTCCAAGTTATGAACTCTTTTGTATAAACACACTAAGAAAAAAACCCAAAACGTATGATATTTCATATTTCAAGTTGAACATCCAGGAAGTATTAACACCAAACACCTTTTGGCTTTATCTAGTCTATCATGTCATCACTTTATGGAGCACCGTGTTGTCTCGTACAGATGTTTGTTATTGTACATGTTCAGCATAAATCAAACACTAAAATACACAAGCAATTATTTTCCATGAGAGAGTTAATGGTTTTACTAATTAAAGCAGGCACTTTTAAAACAGGTAAAAAAAAAATATAATTCACTAAGTACCCATGTACTGAGCACTATCATCACAGCACTGAAAGGTGGGGGACCTGTTGTAAAAAACAGATGACTATGCAATTACAGACTCCTGTAACTATGTATGCACATCTATAGCCAGCTCATACCAAGGTATGGTAAGGTAAGGTGCTTGACTCTTCACCTTTAACATTTGTCATTTTCTATGCGATAATCTATCATAACTGCACACATCCCCTGAATAACCAATGCTCTGGCACCTAATAAAGAGAGTGCAGCAAAAATCTATGCAGTAACGTATAAAAATTTCAAAGCAAATTAAACGGAGTCCCAGGTAACCTGACCCAAGGCCTTGCTTTAAGAGAAGGCTGGACTAGCTGATTCCCAGAGATGCTTTCTAACACGGCTTCTGTCTCTCAACCCAGCCAGATTCGTGGTCCTGATCCTGCTTCTCCAAAGCATCACTGTGCCCCGGCTTCTTAAATCAAGAAAAAAAATCCAGGCCAGCTTCCAGCTGCCAATTCGTTACACTGGACACATAACTTGAGCAGAACATGGGATTCGCCCTACTCTGCTGAAGCCCCCGGAAGGGAACACAGCCCCTCGGGGCAGCCTGCGGGGCTGAGGCCGGTGGAGGCTGCACTCCCAGGCCCGCAGCCCCAGGCCCGCAGCCCCGCGCTCCGCTCGCCCGGCCCCAGCGCCGCCCCCCC